GTTCAAACAAAAATAATTTGAATCTCGACCGGGAGCACGATTAGCTCGATCTTCTGGCATACAAACACAGTTGAAATCCCCAGGACAAATAATGACTCGATTTCAATTAAAATAAGTGCAGATATTTACACAAAAAATTTGAAAATTCGTTACTTTTCGCAGTTCGGCAATTCGGCGCGTACACACAAATAATGCGACAAAAAAGGTTAAAACAGGAAACGTCGCACATGACAATACGACCGGAAGAGCAAGAATGCACTGCCGTCGAATAAACAGACAACATCCACTGAAAATCCCAGCAGCGGGCGACACACAAACGTTAAAATAATTCTGACAAGGCCGCACCATACTGCAGCTTTCAATTTGCGTTTCTTGAGCCGAAATAATGTCCAGCTCGTTTTCAGAAAATAACACTGCCGACGCCTTACTGCCAGACCACGAACATTAATCTTGGCCACGCGTAAGGCCACTTCGAACGCATTTATCACGAATGATTCGATAGGCCTCGAAGGCAGAATGACAGTACAGGATGCTTGAAATAGCGGCCAGGCTCTTTAAATCGACCCCAAAACTCGGTTTCTGAACCGATCACGCTGCGATGTTGCGCAGCGTTGCCGATGGTGCATTTTTTTTTATAAAATTTGAAAGGAGCGACCTTACCTCAGAAAAAAAGTAAAAAAGTGAAAGCCGTTTACCCCGAATTGGAGCGCAGCTCTTGAGGAGGAGGAGGAAAGGGTACTGAGGGGAGGGTAGACCCCTCCTCCTCCTCCTCCTTCTCCTCCTCCTCCCCTCACTCTTCAATATGCTCCGAGGGGGTCACCTGACCTCAGGGGGAGGGGGTCACGTGACCTCAGGGGGGGACGGGGGCCACATGACCTCGGGCCACGTGATCTCGGGGGGGTCACGTGGCCTCGGGGGTCACGAGACCTTGGGGGTCACGTGACCTTGGGAGGTGTCACGTGACCTGGGGGTCACGTGGTCCACTACGGGCCACGTGACCTGGGGGGTCACGTCACCTTGGGGGTCACGTGACCTTGGGAGACCTTGGGAGGGGTCACGTGACCTCGGGGGTCACGTGACCTTGGGGTGACCTTGCGAGGGGTCACGTGTCCTGGGGGTCACGAGACCTTGGGGGTCACGTGACCTGGGGGTCAAGTGACCTTGGGGGTCACGTGACCTGGGGGTCAAGTGACCTTGGGGGTCACGTGACCTTGGGTGACCTTGGGAGGTGTCACATGACAGGTCACGTGACCCCCATGGTCTCGTGACCCCCCGAGGCCAGGTGACCCCCCGAGATCACCTGGCCCGAGGTCATGTGGCCCCCCTCCCCCCCTGAGGTCACGTGACCCCCTCCCCCTGAGGATGCGTCAATGCCGCTGGTCATGTGACCATGGTCGTATGACGTTGCTAGTCTTCCTTTCACGTGATTTCGCGCGCGCCATTCAAGCGGTGTTCACGGCCTCGTAGCCTCGTGGCGCCCCACACATAACTGTCGCATGTTTACCCAATGTCCTATATATATATGTGGTATATGACGACGGCGCACCGTCATTATGGCGGTGACGCTCGCGTCCGTCAAGTCTCTTCTCGCATTCATCATGGGCTCCTTTCTAATTGTCTGCGTGATCACCATCGGCGTCAGCATGTCGAACGCGAGCCTGCACGGAAACTGCACGCTCGAGATGAGTCTGAACAAAGACACCAAGGTTCATCAGTGTCCTGCATCCGTGCTAGCAATACGTGTATGGTCAAAAGAGGGCTATCCGAAAAGAGCCGGTGTAAATTTTGACAAGAATCATACTGAGGCGCTGAAGCACTGTCTCAATGAGCTGGACGTTCTTGCTCCCCGGAAATATTCCCTGCCGGAAACCTCAATAGTAGCATGTCAAGATGCAGAAAGCATCTTAACATGCTTTCGGTTACCGTCCTTCAAGACGGTAACCGGCAAGCGTGGGCAAGAGCTATGAAAGATGTCCCGTTCCCGTCCTCGTCCTCGCTGTTTTATACTTTCAAGTTTTGTATCTATTAACCAACACGCTCGATTTCAATTGTAAGAGCCATTCCAAAGGAGAATCTTGTGTCTCAACACACCAGGAGAAGAACTCCTTCTTGTTTTCATTTGCCAGGTCTCTTGTACAGTTTTCGCTTTCTAAGTCTTCTGAGCTTTCGTCAAATGACTTACATCGGTTGGCATCATGTCGGGCGTCATTAGAAAACAGAAAAAGGCTCAATGTGCTCAAAATGCGTCAGCATTCGTTTAAGTTCGACAGCTTACGTCAAGGACTTGAGATGCTACCTATACTTTAACAGCCTGTTTATACAGAGCCAGTGTAATTCCATGAGCGGACGGATATGGCGTTGAGTGCGGTGCCAGGTGGCCAGGTTAACGGCTCATTCATTAAACAATTTATTCTATTACTACGACTGGGATACCGCAAAGGTTCCTCAGTTTTCCTTATGCTGTAAAGAATTTAAAAAAAAATATAAGACGCGTGTAAAAGTCACATCTATCCGTGTATACGTGCACGAGAAAATATCTTGACTCGCGTGTTCGTGCATGAATATATTTACGGGATTATTTGTGCTTCGTGTGACACGTGGGAACCAAATACAAAGTACTCATAAATTGTTGTCGTTTATACGAAGGCAAATTTGTTATTTAAGTGCTCGAGCTTCACTTCACGGAGAGTGATATCCCTCGAAAGACGTCACACGCGGATGATACTACAGCGTCACAGCTCATCGTTCCATTGAAGCATCCCCGGCTACGCCATGGTGCACTGTCATAGTTTCAGCTTGACGTGTGGTGTAGATGCATGTAGCTCTTGACAAGAAACTTTCTGAATCGCTTAGCTTCAAGCAAGAACGCAGTCACTACATTCGTTTACTAAGTCAAGTTTATTGATGCTGTGATGTAAAATGCCGTTTTCAATCGTTCTTCATCATGAAACTCCTGGAGAGTATTCTTCATAAATAATCCATTTTGCGGGGATAATTACATGATGCACAATGTCGTGCTATCTCGAGTTTTATACACCTAGAGCGTTCTTGTATTTTACATCATTTCTTTTATGAAACAATGATTCGCCAGTTAAAGAAAACCACCTTCCTAACCCAAAAATCGTGCTCAGTTGGCATTTAAGGAAATGAACACGCTTGCATCAATAATAACTCGTTTCTCTGGCAGTAACGCCCCACGTATTCCTTCTCTTCCGCGCTTTAGAGCGGCCCCGATGGCCATCTCTTTCGGCCATGCGGAAAGATTGCTGAGGCCTTCCTAGTCTAGGAGGTGTTGCCTGACCCCTGCTCTAAGGTAAGCTGCGGGAAAAGGTGACCGCCGTCGTAGAAACAAATCTCGCGCCTGCTTGCTGACGCGAAAATCCGAAAGCAATTTAGAGGTCGGCCGCCGGTGGCGTAAAAAGTGCAAAAAACATGTGGGTTATCAATATGTCAATTTTCTTTTGGCATGAGGAACTCTGACGCAAGTGAAATCGTATCATCGCAAAGGACTCAAGCATCCAGACAAAAAGATAGTGCCCAATCCCGAAAGAAAAGGACGATGCCACCCCACCCCGGATCAACATGCTATACCCAGACTGGGCAAGGTAAAGGGTCCAATGCAAGATTAAACAAAATATTGACACATTTTCTTTCTTTTTTTTTTCACAAAAAAAAAAGCAAAAGAAAAAACGAAAAATATTTTAGTTGCAGTAGCGAAGGCCGATGAGCAAAGGAGACAGAGTAAAGCCCGGGGGCTCAAACCAATTTAGAGTTGTAGTCTTGGATACAGCAAGGCCTTAGCTGCTTCCTGTACATGTTGCGGGAGGAAGGCGTACGGTTCTGTGTGGACGGATAAGCAACCCGGTATAATAAAGGATGTTTCAGTTAACTTGTGCCAAGACGTAAAGAAAGCTGGTACACGCTACGCTTGTTGACCCAATGCGGTATTGTTCATAGTCCTCTGGTGCAACTCTAGATATTTCTTGTGATATGCTAAGATCGCTGATTAATACTAGCCAACATTTATACTCTTAATGTGTACGTAAACGTCGCTATACGAAAGTTTTAGAGTGAGTCGAGCAACATCCAATCCTGTTATTTCCATAAATAAAGGTAGCCTTCAGGTGTATAATAATTTTGGCTTAAAAAAACAAAAAAGCTCAAAGATCTTGTGTTAGATTTAAAACATTCCATGTACCGTATTTTCCGGACTATAGTACGCACTTAGTGCCTAATCCGAACGTAAACATCATCAAACATAGAACACCTTGACAACTGCCTGCTGCATTATCTCGCAAAGAAGCTTGCATCACATATAAATCAGTACTATTATACTCTGTTACTCATAAAATCCTTCGCGTCTTGTCACATTGAACCATGTAGAAAAACACGAAACCTTGTACAGTCCGCAGCCGTAGATCACTCGCACAGGGTAAAATTTCAACTTTTAAACAGTCCGGAAAACACGCTAATTACAGGCTTGTGAACTGCAATGGTAGTGGCCTAGTTCCGTAAAATAAATGTTAAATAAAAAACATCGCCCATATATTTTGCTTGTTTTTTTACCGCTTGAAAACATTAGGCACGAAAAGGCTACCTTAGTAAAAACGACACTATGGACAGGTTTTCAACCCGTCCTACAACGTTCGTATTGAAAGGATGCGCACAAAATAATATTTAAAAAAGTCGGCTAGTTTACGGTATCTGCGTTCATAGCAAGTTTGGCCCAATAAAAAGTAACTTGACTTGTTCAACTGAACAATACTGCGTTTGTTTAAAACTTGTAGTGCGCACCATGTTTTTAAAGTATCGGCACCAGGTAACTAAAACACCTTGCATGTCTTTTTTTTTTCTTTTTTTTTTTTTGCAGTGAGAACGTAACGAAAGCGGTGGTTTTTCCAACTCATTTTATTTCCGAGGATGCAAGACACTACACAGTGACAGACTTTTTTTTTTAATGTCAAGTTTGCATACACACTACTTTTCCTCACCATCCGACGTGCAATTGAGAATCACGCCTGTGAATTCTAGGAAATGGACACCTATTGCCCTGTTAGTGAGGCATTACAGGTTATCGGATTGTAAGCTCTAAATATTGGCTTTCCACAGGTTATCATGAAGGCGAGAACGCAGTCGAGGGAAATCTGTTTCCATACGATGTCTTGAAACCATCTTTCAATCTGATCTTGTACGTAAACTTGTAGGTCTCCTTTTTGTTTATTTGTAGCAGTGCAGTTTTCATAGATTCGAAGCTCTTTCTTACGATTCTCAATCAGTTCCTTTTCTTTTTCTAGAATTTTATCTTTGTGGTCATCCACTATTTTTTTCAACTCGGTTTTTCTCAGCCACAAGTCGCATCCTGTAAAATTGAAGAGACACCAATTAATCGCGAACATCTGGGCGACTGTGAAAGTACTTAAACGTGCGAAAGCAAGTGACTACAAATAAAAACGAAAATCAGTTGCGGCGCGGAAAGCCGGTGTAAGTTCACACTATAAAATAAAAATGTCAGTTGTCAGTTAGCGCTTGTCGGGTGTACTACTCTTGTACCCGTCTGCTTTTGTTTATGTTTTTTTTTTGTTTTTATTCTTTCGTTAATCACGTCGTCGCACAAACCTTTACTAAGGTAAGCAAAGTGTTTTCTGTTATGACTTTAAACCCCAAACCCGAGCCGTTTCAACACGCCAATAAAGTAGAAAAACACGAATACCTCGATTTAAATGGGTATCAATTTGTTTTCAAAGAGAGGGATAAGAGTAGCATTTGAATAATCTTTTTTTATAGTTAAAGCTCAGCTGATTATTCTGACACAGCGTTCCGTAGCTGTCCCTGTTAAATTTTAAACGTTATATTTTTAAGTATTCCTTAGATATTTATTTGTATTGTGTTCAGAAACAACCGACGTCTTAGTACTGGTCTAACACTCATACCAACAGACACACGTTCATGAGAAAAAAAACAGAAAATAAGAAAACAGACAGAAAAGCCGAACCCTGATGTTATCAAATGTGAATGGCTTCTACACTTTTCAGAACCAACTTAATCCCGAAAATGTCAACCACTGCACTAAGTGCAATTATATTTAAATTAGAAAAATTTGGATAATTAACAAATGTCTTGCTCGTAGAAAGTGTTGTGGTGACGACAATTCACGGGAGTTACATCTGGCGAAAGCAAAGAAACAAGCCTGGGGCAACGTATTCTGCTATGTGCAGTTTTAGATAAAAACACAGAATCTCGAAAATTTCAGCGCCAGTATTGGCAAGTTTAGCCGAAGTAACATTGACTCGTAGCTACAAAAGAACCGACTGCCGTAATAAGAGTCGTATTCTATACGTGCCAACTTTCTCTGCACACGTTCTAGGCTGGCAGGGCTGGTCAGTCCCAGGCAGTTCGAAAGTACACAGACAAACTCTCGTTTCGATGGAACAACAGATGCATAAAGCCTGACGAGGCATGAAGTCTCTTTAACATGACGGGATATAGCGAACACGAACCTAAAAGTCACAATCAAAAACTAAGAAATTTTGACATATGATATAACTAAGGGATTGATCAATATAATCTCCTCAGTCATGTACGCAATATTCACGTCGCAACAGTTGATTGTCTTGTTTATAAAAAAAAATTAAACGCACATTTCCTGCGTGATAAAAAAAACAAGTGTTTTTTACTGTTTAGACGTAATTCTTGTTGCGCACCATGATGAGATAGCAGATATGTCCTGCAGCAGTTCACAATAAACGTGATTTGGTTCGTTTGAAGATCTTAATATAATTAGCTAACTGAAGCAAATTCGAATGTTTTACACAAAGAGAGACATCATTGGCAAAATGTTAAACGGCAAGGGTCCTTAAATAGAAGCCTGAGGAACGCCAGATTATATGTATGATCTCGGTAACACACTCTTAACACGAGCGTTGTTGATGCGCCAGGAAGGATGTGGTGAAACCACGAACATACCGGCAAACATACCTTATATTCCGATAGCTTGTGCAAACATGGATCATGGTTCACAAGGCCAAATGCTTTGGTTAAGTCAAAATAAATGGCACCGACCTGCCCATAGTTGGCAACTAATGGGGCCAACGTAACTAAGTCTGCTAACGTATTTTTAACACTTTCAGACTTAACAAAACGTTGTTGCACTTAATTCAATATTTATTCACAATAACTAGAAATCTGCACTTCTACCACGCTCTCAGGCAGTTTTGAGAATGTGTAAATATGCGTGATGTTTTATTTAAATTTAATCGTATACCAAAAGACATGAAAGGTACACTAATGCTACCTGTGCAGATGAGTTTTAATAGGGGGGGGGGGGGGCTATATTATAGTGGGCTAATCGTAACGATAAGTAGGACAATTACCTAAAACTTGTTAGGTAGCTTTAAAGTCAGTGAAAATAAACGTATGGTTGGTTCCATTGGAAACTTGCTATAGGTCAGTAAAGACAACGAAATTATAAAATGCTAGGACTTAATGCACATGTAAAGTGTGGAGGTGCGCTAAAGATAGCCCTCGTGCAACCGGCACAAGGATGGCGGTACGAAACGGGGATGACTACCATCTGCGCAACACAGGAACAAACTTTCGTATATATCGTTTTACGTTGGCTTGGCAAAGAGCGAAAACTACGGCCCGCTCGAGCCAATCAGAGTGACGGTGGTGAAGGACGTGACAGCCCTTAACAAGGACACAAGGGTGAGAGCGTAACCCGAGAAGTTCGAGAGGAAAGGAAGAAGGAACTTCCCTCTTAACCCGAACCCTCTTTTGTGTGTCTCATACGTCGTTGTTCTCCCACTCGGAGATTAGCCCGTCACAAAACATTAGTACAAAAGCGGCTTCCCCCTCTCTTTTGCTCATGGCTTTGACAACATTGCGCGCAAATAGTGAGATGGAATATAGTCACGTGCCTTGCTTTTACGCGCTGATTGGTTCACTCGGGCAGTAGTAGCCTTAGCCGTTAGCCAAGCTATGGTGAGACTAGAATAGTTGCAGATGTTTTGGTCGCCGGAAAGCTTAGATGGCCGATAGTGTTCTCTACCTAAATTAAATCTTATTATCGCTGACGTGTGCTATTCACTTTTAGGTATTTGTTGCACAAGCGATGCATAAAACATCTATGTCGTTGTTGTTGTTTTGTACTAGTGCCCCCGTCTCATTCTCAATTATCTTGCAAGTTTCCTACTTAGCAGGAAGTTACGTTGAAATTAAGTTGCACTAGCACTCCGAACGTATTGGAAACCACGCACGACATCAGCAGTGTAGGACATTTCACTGCTGTCCTGAGAAGTCATTGTCTTCAATCGTAATTGAACAAATGTTGATCGTGCACGATACTGGGCAATCTTTGGCGCACTCGTTTTTAGTTGAAACAAAACTTTTGTGCCAAGAGTACCCCTGTTCTGGTTAGCACATACACATGGGCCTCCAAGGCATTGAAGATTATCAACAGGTTTAGACACGACCTCTGTAAACTGAACATACCACAAAACGTAGAGTTTATCTTAGAGAACTAGGACACGTCTACGCGCAAATCTAAAAAAAAAGCGTCGCAGATTAAATCCTTCTTAATACAGCTTATCGAAAGCTCGTTTACTTCAAGATTCCAGCGCAAAGCAACCTTAATTTGAGTGTCTTTTCTTCTGTTATAAAGCAAACTATAGCGGCTATACTTATCTAAATTAGAGAAATACAACACGGTGTGACATTAATCTCGCTGAAGCTTTAATGACCTTACCTCCTGAGGCTGCGGGATTCCTAAGGATATAACATTGCGGCTCGTTGTAGACGACATACATGTCAAAATCGCCAGCACTTTCCGGAATGTAGAACAATACATCTAGAACATTCCCCATAGAACCACCATAGTCTCGTGCATTTTCTGGGTGAGAAAAAAAATTTTTGTAATTCAAATTAGATACGCCACCAACAGAAACAAGCTCCACGCTTGTCGAGCATAAAACCAGAACTTACCCGTATCAGGAAAGGGAGTACTTCTGGAATAACAGGTGGAGTTATCACACTCAGCGTACGTGTAGCTTCCTGGGGGAACCGGGGTAGCATTTGGGAGTGTCCCTGATGTTGGGGTACAAAAGAAATTTAACGCACTTTTAATATAGTTTAGACAATTAGGCAACTGAAATCCCCCCAGGTTGCACTCTCATCCTGACCTGACAGTGAAGCGAAGCAGTAAAGAAACTAATTAAAAGGTTTTGAGTTACTGTAGTTAATTACATTTCTCTAACTAAATACTTTTCAAGTTACAATAACATTGTAGCAACAACATCATGTAAACTAACATCTTTAAGGAAATTTATACCGCCTGCAAAAATCGGTTACTCAAACGTATTGCGCTGTGACTTTCTACAGAGGTGCAAACAGGTGGTGGAATTTTACAGCGAGAAACAAAAACCAAGAAATGATCCTACCTCGTTTAAACGGAAAAGAAACAAATCTGTTCTGGGCAATCTAATGGCCGATTCGTCTGGGAACGCATCGCACCGGTGCAATGCGGTTCGTGGTACACGGAAGGCTAGATGGGATAGGGGAGCTACCTTCTCTCACCGCAATTCTTTCGTGTACTAAAGTTGAAAGAGTTTACTGCACTGGTCGGGTGCGGCGTGCCCCAGACGATTAGGCCATAAGCTGTCGCTTAGCAGACGATGCACGTGTAGTGAGAAGTTTTACCTACAGATAACGCACGTCGCGTTTAGGGAGCACCGGCCGATTCCAGTTCTTTTGCGAGATCGTCTGCTATCAATCACCGGCAGGCGCTCCCTCTACGCGGAGTACGCTATCTGTGAGCAGATCTTCTCTCTGTGCGTGCCTTGTCTCTGAGGTGTCGGCGTAGATTGGCCATTTAATTGCATATAATGCAATTAAATGCAAAGGGGCAAGCGAGCTGGACAATGATGATGAAAATAATGCATTTAATTGCATTATAATTATAACATTAAATTGCAAGCTTCACCCTCGTTGGAGTTAGACTGGTGGCAGCTGATAAAACCCGTTTCCTCTACTGACGTCTAACCCCTGGTTAGCTCAGTTGGTAGAGCGCTCCACTTGTAATGGAGAGGTCCCGGGTTCGATACCCGGACCAGGCGGATTTTTTCGGTCGCTGACCAGTCACCTAGCTGTGTTTGGAGATTTATGTTTGTCCCTTGTCCCTCTTGTTCCCCCTCTCCTGGGATTATTTTCATCATCATTGTCCAGCTCGCTTGCCCCTTTGCATTTAATTGCATTATGATTATAACATTAAATTGCAAGCTTCACCCTCGTTGGTGTTAGACTGGTGGCAGCTGATAAAACCCGTTTCCTCTACTGACGTCTAACCCCTGGTTAGCTCAGTTGGTAGAGCGCTCCACTTGTAATGGAGAGGTCCCGGGTTCGATACCCGGACCAGGCGGATTTTTTCGGTCGCTGACCAGTCACCTAGCTGTGTTTGGAGATTTATGTTTGTCCCTTGTCCCTCTTGTTCCCCCTCTCCTGGGATTATTTTCATCATCATTGTCCAGCTCGCTTGCCCCTTTGCATTTAATTGCATTATAATTATAACATTAAATTGCAAGCTTCACCCTCGTTGGTGTTAGACTGGTGGCAGCTGATAAAACCCGTTTGCTCTACTGACGTCTAACCCCTGGTTAGCTCAGTTGGTAGAGCGCTCCACTTGTAATGGAGAGGTCCCGGGTTCGATACCCGGACCAGGCGGATTTTTTCGGTCGCTGACCAGTCACCTAGCTGTGTTTGGAGATTTATGGTTGTCCCTTGTCCCTCTTGTTCCCCCTCTCCTGGGATTATTTTCATCATCATTGTCCAGCTCGCTTGCCCCTTTGCATTTAATTGCATTATAATTATAACATTAAATTGCAAGCTTCACCCTCGTTGGTGTTAGACTGGTGGCAGCTGATAAAACCCGTTTGCTCTACTGACGTCTAACCCCTGGTTAGCTCAGTTGGTAGAGCGCTCCACTTGTAATGGAGAGGTCCCGGGTTCGATACCCGGACCAGGCGGATTTTTTCGGTCGCTGACCAGTCACCTAGCTGTGTTTGGAGATTTATGTTTGTCCCTTGTCCCTCTTGTTCCCCCTCTCCTGGGATTATTTTCATCATCCGCCATATAGCGTACTATTTTTTTTCAGTATTAGTACATTTAGAAGATTAGTTTTTGTCGTTGTAGCCCACACGAGATGGCAATAGTTTAAGTGAGACTGAAATCGAGCGTGGTAAATTTGTAGCTTAATGTTGGGGGGGTAAAACACCCCGACAACGAGCGACAATACCGACAATTCGGGAAAGTTTACCAACTAGATATTTGACATGAGATTCCCACGTCAAGTGCTCCGAAAAAAATACACCTAAAGTTTTATGTTTATTTACTAATTCAATTTTCGAAGTGCCAAGTTGGATAGTATTATTTACCACGATTGGTGTATTGGTAGCCCTGAATAAAATAGCCTTAGATTTAGTTGCGTTTACGTTAAGCCGATTTACCTCAGACCACTGCGAAAACTTTTCTAGAACAGAGTTTGCTTTGCATATTACTGCATTAGCATCATTGCCAGAGTAAAACAGGCTCGTATCGGGTACATAAATAATAAACTGTGCCTCATTATCAATATTCACAATATCATTGATGAAGACATTAAACAAAAGAGGTCCTAATATACTACCTTGCGGTACGCCTTGCTGTACATTTCGAAAAAGAAGAGCAATGACCATTAGTAAGAACACACTGTTTCCGATCTTGTAAGTATGATTTCAGTAAAGCCAGTGGCACACCACGGACGCCATAACGATTTAATTTCGCAAGCAAAATTTCGTGGTTTAAAACATGAAACGCTTTGCTAAAATCAATGTATACACCTAATGTAATAAGTCTCTTTTATATGTTTTGTAATTTAATTTCCTCTTGAAATAACAATGCAGCTTCAGTTGATTTACCTGTTCGAAAACCAAACTGATTGTCTGTTAACACGCAATGCTTTACAAAAAAGTTATCGAGACGTGTAAGCATAATTTTCTCGAGTGCTTTTGAGAAAACAGGCAGCACGAATATAGGTCTATAGTTTTTTACCATGCTTTTATCACCACCTTTGTACATGGCCGAGACTTTAGCAAACATCATACTTGCGGGAAATATTCCGGAAGATAATGATAAGTCATATTTATGCGCTAGGCATGGTGCAATAATGTCGATTACAAATTTAACTGGTTTCATTTCAAACTTGTCCATATCACTACTCTTACTGTTTCTGAGACCTAAGAATGTGTTAAAAACTTCTTTCTCGTAAGATTTTGGAACCTAGAAACGTGTAATCGCAACGGGGGGATGACCCAAAAAGGCAACTCTCCTTCCCAGTCAGCAATGTTCGCTTATATCTTGCTGTGGCTAAGTAACACATTTTCGATCGAGGTCACCATTGGCCAGGACTGTACCACATACAGGACTGTATATATATATATATATATATATACAGGCGTACAATAAACCCCTAGCATAGGAACTCCGCAAGTACGGGTCTCTGACATTATATATATATATATATATATATAAATATAAATATGAACATCGGGTTAAGGTGCACAAAGTTTTATAGATAAAAAGCGACATTTAAAACGACAGATCGCCTCACCATATGAATGTACGTCCTCGTCTTGTGTTTATTTCAAGTGTGAATAAGAAATATTATTTTGTTGGGCAGAAGAGTAGACGGAAAACGAGTACAAGTCCAAAGGCCACCACAGTAAAAAATCAAACAAAAAAGTAAAAGCCGTTCACAACTCCCTGTAACGCCGAATTCGAGAGCAGCTCTTGAGGAGGAGGAGGGAAGGGTACTGGGGGGGTCAACCGACCGGAGGGGGGAGGGTCACGTGACCTTGGGGGGTCACGCGACCTGGGGGTCACGTGACGATGACAATGCCGATGATGTCATCAGTGACATCAATGATGACGCCATCAGTGACGATAACGATGCGGATACCGATGACGTCATTAGTGAAGTCACTGATCACGTCACCTGTGATGATGACGATGACGATGCGGGTGTCGGTGACGTCATCAGTGATGATGACGATGACGATACGGATGCCGGTGACGACATCAGTAACGTCACTGATGACGTCATCAGTGATGATGACGATGACGATGCGAATTCCGGTGACGTCATCAGTAACGTCACTGATGACGTCATCAGTGACGATGACAATGCGGATGCCGGTGACGTCATCAGTGACGATGACGTCATCAGTGGTGATTACGATGTGACGGTGACGTCATCAGTGACGATGACGTCATCGGGGGTCACGTGACCTCAGGGGGTCACGTGACCTCAGGGAGGGGGTCACGTGACCTTGGAAGGACACGCGACCTTGGGGTGACCTTGGTTACGCCGACAGCGACGGCGACGCCGCTCATGCCGGAAACGGGCGCCTAAGAGCTGCGCTCTAAAAACATCATTTTCTTTTTTGGAAGATCCGCTAGTTTTCTCTGGACACCGTCACATCTCAAGCCACGAATATATAAGTATATAATTATATGAACGTTACAACGTTCGAAATCGAGACTTTCAAGGGCATTCACCACCGCCTAGATGCTTCAAAACAATTCAACTAGTAGATGAGTGACTTCTGCATCCCATTGTTTTATGCCAAAACGAAACGACAGGCCTCCCGATGCATTCGTTTGTATCTACCACTTATGTACTTGTGCGAGCTCTGTCAAAAAAAAAGCAAAAAAAAAACAACAACAACTAGATCTGTCATCGATAAAAAGAAAATTCCGAACTTAATTATTGACATTGAAATTTCATTTTTTTAGAAAAAGTTTTTTTAAATGCTATAATCATGCTTACTATCTTCGAAATAATGTTTTTCAGGAACGTTCATTTATATAGACTGAGGATTTATCTAGAAAACTTATTTTCGGCATCCCTCCAAAGCAGAAGGAAGGAAATTTGCAATTTTTTATTTAGGCCTGTTTCGTTCTCGTGTAACATAGCCAGACCATCTAACCCTGCTTGGAGGCGCCTCTTTCGTTAAATCTAGCCTGTCGCAGCCTCCGAAGTTTAAAAGAATCAATGGCCAGGACAACCCCAAAAATACAGACTGACAAAATGTAAAACATATTGTATGAGCAATCTTACTTGTTGAGACCCAAGGCTTACGACTGGTCCAGCCCGGTGACGTGATAGTTTGTTATTTTCAGCCCTGACCTTTCGACAGAATCTTCCAATTCAGATCAGATTGCTACTTTGCTCCTTTTTTGTATCATTTGCCTCATGGTTTTCCGTAGTTTTTTTGTCGAGGAATGCTTACTACCAAAAATAGCTTACTCACAAACGACGCAAGCTGGTAGTTAATTCCACGGGGGCAAGGAAGTTTCAAAACGTAACGTGCTTCCGATGCTTCAGGTGGATTTCGTATGCCTCAGACCCAGAAAATAGAGAAACCGGAAGCTGAAACTACAACTGTATTTTTCTCAGTTCCACGTTTTAGCAGGAATTCTTGTAGGATGAAATGTATCATTTGACGTTCTGAGAGGCTAAACACTTAACGCAGGGGTGTCCTGAATCGAAATTTGATTAAAAAAAAAACATAATCCGTCTAAAAAGTACAAAAAACTCGCTTTTTTTAGTAATAAAGCTTTTCTGAATTATGTGTATTTCTGTTTGTTATTGCTTTCTTTTTCTCTTCTAGAATTGCCTTTTTTACAGTTTGCACCTTAACTTGCACTAGGGCACTCAACTTCACATTCAAACACACTATTTTCCGATTGGAATTTAAATTTTTTTCAACATTTATGAAGTCACGTCTTTGCTATAACTTGAGAGGAGCAGGATGCTGTATAATTGGTCTATAAGACTGAAACTTCGGAATTTATATTTCCAGATAGAGCCTACCTCGTCCTAAAAATTTGAATAAATTTGAATGAAGGGTTGAAAGGTGAACCCTCTCAGGCTATATCCCCCCTCCTTTTTTTTTCAAAGCATATGGTTTGAGTATATACATACCATTGAAATTTGCCCTTATGACGTTTTCAACCGGGTAGTCAGTTTGATTCAGAGCTCTCACTTGTAGTGTGACATTCTCGCTGAAAATAAAACAATTTACGCACAAGTTAATTTTAGAACATATGCACCGATAAGCTAAGTGAGAGGAGGAGACGAGAGCGTGCGGGGACGCCACAACGCCGATCTCTGATTGGAAGAATTAGTGGGTAGACCTAAAGCAAGCTGCCTTTGTCTAACGTTGTAGACTGCCGAAGCTGCCTTCTTCGGACGATCCTTCAAGAACACTTTTTAACGAACACCTGCATCTTTCATGCAGGGAACTTTTCTGGAATGCTAGAGTAAAGGGGAAGGGAATGCAGTAGAAGTTTGAGTAAAGTCGGGAGGAATTTACAAACGGAAATTCGAAAATGTACCTATCGTCTGTATCAACAATGTTCAGGATTTGGAGAGAAAAAAAATGTGTTAGACAGCGGCGGTGACTTTCAATACGTGTAAGGGCTTCGATAAGTTGAAGCGGTTGCTCGTTGCACACGATCACTCGATTTCTGTTCTGTACGTTAACATTAGAAGTTTGAGAAAGTACTGGGAGTGTCTTAAAGTGATGGTTATTGAAGTTATGCCTCGCATTAACGGAATCCAACGAACCCAGAGCTTTGTTTGATCTTTACCAGTTATTGGGTTTCAATTCCTATTAGTTTTCTCGTGAGTATTCAACTGGAGGGGGATAGTAGTATATGCGAAAAGTAAATAACTCTGTCTCAAGTCAGGAAGTAACTTTCTGTTACGCAGAATGTATTTTCTTAAAAGTTGAGACCTGCCTTCACTCTTTTAGTCTTTTAGTTCGCTATAGACCTCCTTCTACAAGATGCGGGCAATGTGTTCATGAGCTCACAGCGGCAAGTTAGCGCGAGCTGCAGTCGAGTATTATTTTGCATCGTACGAGATATGAACATAGATTTACTGAAAGATTAAACATCCGATGTTTGCTACTACCCTAACGCTTGCTGGTGTAGGTTTTGAAAGCGTTATTCAGTGCAGAAACCATATCCGAGGTGGTGGGCGGTAGACTGGTGTCCTCGTGTATTTAGCATATTTGAGTCAGGACGTTAGCAGCAATACTGAAATCGGTAGTAATTTCGCAAAAAATGGCGGACCATTTTTTTTGTTGTTGGGTGTCAATGGTATGCAGTCTGCCCCGGCAGCGGCTGGGAAAAGTGATCGACAAATCGTTCAAATCTTCGATGAAAAGATTTTGGACAGATTGGCTTCGTCATACGTTTTGAGCTCTTTTCTCCAAGGGTCATCGCACTCTGATGTTTACTCAACATTTGTTCAAGTCCACAACTCTTTGAAGGCGAAGGCAGAGCGCATCGTTTAGTAAAAATAGAAAAGAAGGCCAGATCGGATTTGATTAAATACTTATATTTTGGCTTCCATCGCTGATAAAGGTTTTTGGTGCGTTGTACACGAGCTCCTCCAAACGTCCAATTCCACCCGGAATTTCATACAGCGAGGAACGAGGTCGCTGCCCACGTACGTGTTGCTACGCGACTTTATTTAAAAAAAGAAAAAGTTTCCCAGAAAATTGTTCTAATATTTCACAAGCGTGGTCCTCTGTGAAATGTCTTAGAGGTCACTACAGTTAGCGCTCGATTGGTGACGTCATATTCAAAATTTGTTTTCGATACTAGTAAGGAGACCACGGAAAAGCTGAACACGTTGTTCGCCACTTGTTCAGACAAATCACCCAATGGCTGTGTTTAGGAAGTATCATTGAAAGATACAAATTACTCGTCGTGAAAGATACAAAGTACCCGTTAACCACTGAATTTGGCTGCGTAAATTGTTTAATTTTGGTCTTCGGGAGCTTTTTTTCTTTAGCTACTGGGCGTTTTCAGAAGAGATCGAACAAGCATGTCCGGTGACCTTTTTTTTATTTTATGAAATATAATTTGCTGGCTTCATGCCCAGAAGAATAAAACCATTCCTTGTTTTCAGAAAAAAAGTTTTGTCTTTACGAAAAATATTTGTAAGCACCTTCTCGGTCACGTGCGCGTTTGGCGTATCGCCTGATGTTGACATTTCGTGCGGCTTCTCCCAAAAAAACTGTACTCGCTACGGGTCTAGAAATATTCACTGATAAATTAGGCATAAGAAGGATTGACAAAAAGTAGTAATCACCGAGCATTCCCAAGTAGCACACCCCGTCGGGTTGGGGATGAGGCGGTATTGGGTCTGCCGGGATACTAATACCGGCCAGTACAGGAAACGGCCCAAGGGGCGACGGGAGCATCTCCCTAAGGCCGACAGTCGCATTACGGCCGAGAGTGCATTAAGGCCGAGAGGGGCGAAAGGGCCGGGCGTGGCTTTCAGGCCGAAAAGGGCATAATGGAGGAGAGCTGCATTAAGGCCGATAGTCTCTGAATGGGCTGGTGTGGCGTTTTTCTCGGGGCTCGCGTTGTGGTGGCCTCCGAGATCCCGAAGCGCAAGCGTTCACGCACTTCGGGATCTCGGAGGCCATGGGTGGACGACTTTAGTTGTCACCATATAAGATAGATGGCGCCACATTGAGCATGGCGGATGAAATTAACATATTTTAACTCTCGTCAATCACCGTGGTCTCTTCTCAGATTACAATGATTGCCGCTCCGAATACTGTAAACTACTTAATTTTCGAGAGGACCTAATTTTCGCCAGTCGCCTACAATTTGCGAAATATAGGTTCCGCGAACAATTCTGTTAAGATGTAAACACATTAGAATCTACATTGAGATTTTACTGCGTCGCGAAAATTAGAACCCGCAAATTATTCCAAAACTCCAGCTTTGACCTAATCCCGAAAAATAAGCCGTTTACAGTATTCTGCGGGAGAATAATTTGATGACATTTTTAACAGTGTATTTGTCGGTGACTGCGAATATCGCGGTTTTCGGTTTGTTTTCACCCTTGACGGCCGCACCAGCCGGTACGCCGGCCTTGCCTATCCGAATTTTTCATTTATTTATTTGTCTTCCTGCACTTTATCATCTCTTATTCGTTTGATCAGTAGTTTCGTCATCTGCATATTTGGATTATCTAATCACACGCACACGTATTTCCAAATACGTGCTATGCATTTAGGAAGGGCGCCTTTTTTGTATAACATTTCTATATTTTAACGTCGGCTTTTTAAAAGCTTAGTGAAACATTTATTGTGTCTTTTCAAATTTCAGCATTTTAACTAAATTAGTTAGGTCTCTGATTCTACCGGGGGCTACAAAAACAATGAGTGAGGTTGATTTGAAAAATTTATTTTCAATCTTTTTTACTTCAAAACGTTGAAGAAAACACATACCAGCAAATATGAAAAACAGATAGGCGATCAGAATGTTAGGGCATGACAATTAACTCACCGTCGGAGCGAATTCTCGCCTTGAAGTGTCGCGTGTTTCGTTCCGTCTCTCTAAATGCCGCACGAAGGCATAACCTTCGCCCTTTGCTAAAAAAAGTGTTGACCCGGAGTGTAGCAAAAAAAAAAAAAAAAAAAAAAAGGTAGTCGAAACGGTCAAAGCGCTACATGATTAATTAATCGTAGAGCAAAAAACAATAAATCCACAACGCACTATTTGCCGCCACCGAGAGATACAATGTGCACTGACAAATAAAATATGTGGCGACATCTATCTTATTTGTTGGCAACTAAAGACATCACCACAATGCGAACCCTGAGAAGGCGGCCACACTAGCCTATTCGGAGACTATCGGCCTTAATGCGGTTCTCGACAGTTACGCTCTATTCGGCCTCAAAGCCACTCCCGGCCCTTCCGCTCCTCTCGGCCGTAATGCACTCCCGACCGTAATGCGACAATCGGCCGAAATTACAGTGACCCAGGGGCGACATCGGCCGGGCTCGAACGCCGGAATCCGGCCGAAACCGGGAACTTATTGGAGCTTTACGGCGAAATCCGGCCAGTACCGGGATCCGCCGTACAGCTCCCGGTACTGGCCAACGTAATCCCAGTATCGGCCGACATGGTGTGCTACCTGGGTTAGGGTTGTTATTTTGAGAAAACAAATAAAACTCTAGATTAAAGAATGTTTTTGTCCGTATCTACAAAAGCTAAGTTCTTAGCCCTTTGCCAGTGTTGCTCTCTATATAGTTAATCTTTGCGTGAAATATTGTTGTCCTGGTTAGCGGGAGGAATTTACAAGAATACTCACACAGGGGCATTTAATTAAAAATGCATTATTTTGACAAAAAACATTTAAAAACGGCTATATTTAATATTATTTGAACTCTTTGAAATTGACGTTTGTAATATGTACTGACAGAGTCTGCAAAAAATAATGCAATATTCGTGTGGCTTTTAAGCTATCAAGCGAGAAATATGGACAAATTGGAAAGGCGGTTGCCATAAGTGGGCGGGGCGTGCACTTACCCGTTCTTCACAATGTCATTATGATTAAAAAGCGTAAAACTGCTGCGGGGTGGTCAGGAAAAGACGAATTTGCAGCACAGAGCTGGACGGCCGTTTGTAGGGAAAATTTTGTTTATATTTTCGTACAACCCACCTAAAAATGCCCATGGACCGGAGCGATCGAGGTGCCCCACCCTGTAACATGCTTCGCGGTGCCTGTTTCAACAACCGGTGTATGGCGTCTCCGTCTACGCGGCGCAAAGGAAGCAACCGGAGCGACTTTGCAAACGAATCAGCCTACAACCCTGGCGGTAACATGATCTAGGAGGTAGGGCGCGGCAGACCCTGAACCTGTGTCGCCTGTGAGCGCCAATAGATCCACCGCCGCGGAGGGCCGCACAAATACTACAATCTGTTTTCACTGCTATGAACTGGTTTATTGACAACTGTATCAAAGTTAACGCCTCAAAACCTAGTTTAGTATGCTTTAGAAATTCTTTAAAACAAACTGTGACGAACATTCCTTTGTTAATTCATACCTCTGTATGTGCTTCTTGTTCATGTACGACGGATTCTTCTGTCAATTCAGGGAAATACATTGACGTTTATTTTAACAGCGACCTTGCTTGGAACACCTACATGTCCTGTATTTTTAGCAAACTCAGAAGTGCTGCCTGGTTTTTCTACACCAGTAGACATCTTGCGCCGATCTTTGTGCGCAGAGCTATTGCCAGCAGTCTTGCATACGGCGTTTTAAAATATATGGAATTAGGTGTTTTTTTTTTCCAATTGTCCCACAAAATGGATTGTACGGATCAATAATATTCTGCGGAACGTACTGAAGAGCGTGGCGTATAACTGTGATTTGACGGAATGCGGAATATCTTTGAGTATATTTGGTTACCTTCGTTGCGAAAGTTGTTTGTGAATTCAGTAATTTAGCGCCACTTTTGGATGGATGATTTAAAAAAAAAAGAAGATATTCATGTCCTCCCGAGTTCTAAAAAATTGTCCTCGCTATTTTGTGCCTCGTTCTTATGCTCCCTACGGTCAAGCTGCTCGTGATATTTATGTCCCGAAAATATTTAAATCACTTCCTGATGACATTTTTGCACTTACCTCGAAAAAGCAACTAAAAAAAGTCCTGATGATTGAAGTCTACATTAACTATTCGTTAATGTTTTCTTACCTCTATTTTGACAACCTTGTCGGAACCTTTTTTTTTCTACCTGTATATGCCTATAATGTTTCATCGGGTCCACTGTGATTGACTATCTCTGTCCGTGGTATGTATATGTGTCCATGTATACTCTTTATGTATCTCTACATGCAGCTGTACATACGTCTGTACTGGTTTTACCGGTCCACTGTGATTGACTATCTGTATGGGTGTCATTACAAAGTGACTGACTGGCCACCGCTTCCCCCCGCTGTCTCCCCCCCCCCCCCCCCTCCCCGGACAACTATGATTGTTTATCTGTGTTAGTTTGTTAACTAAGTATCTATTAAATAATGACTTACTGCCTCTTCCGGGCCATGTCCCGAAAGCCTACTTTGGCTTTGACGGGCCCGAAAATATCGAGAAAAAAAAACATGATAGCAGAATAAATATCAATATTATTACTATTATTATTATTATTTAGCTGATGAGTGAAGTACTTACTATGTCTTCTTTCTCGAATGGTAAATCATGATTGTGTAATTTGCGGTTTTGTTCGTATCGTCTGTGATCTTTGCTGTTGCGGAGATACATCTTTCAAAAACGGGAACGTCGATGCGAAGCAACAAAAAATATGCATTATTTGACGTTTCTTCTAGGACCTGCAATCATCAAAACGAAACATTTATTATTATTTTTCCCAATATTAGGAGAAGACGCATGGCAGGGCCAACTAAATAGGGCACTTATACCCGTGCTACACGGGCAACTCGAATGCCATTTACAAGGAATTACATTCGTTTGATCGACGAATAGGTTCGCGATCTGTCGCGCGTGATTGGCCCCACGCTCGGGGTGTCGCTCGCTGATTGGCCGATCGTTCAAATGTTAATCGTTGTAAATGGCATTCGCGCGTTGCTCGTGTGCCACGGGTATTACTCATATTTAAGCATTCGTATTCTGTCGACAATAAACATCAGGCATTGCCCCACATTAAATCACAGCAAAGTAATGGTGCTCGTCTATAATGAGTGCATACCATTCAATGAACGCTCGAACACAAAGAACAAATCGAACGTTTGTATCACTAACATAGGTTTCAACACGTCTACAACATAAATGTGCGCTTTACTTAGAAGAGGGTATTTGTGTAACCGTACAGCATAATTATATGATTACGGAGAACGAACACCTGCAAACGACGCAGCCAGTTTTAAACATCTCTAGCACGCACGTCTGTAGGTATGATATTTCTTTCGTACTAAACTGGCTAACTCAAAAATATAGTTGGCGTATGGTCATCTCGTGCTTTTAGGAAACGATAGCTGAGGAGTCTCTATCGCCCTTTGGATTTATGTTTAATCATAGTTCAGTCATTTCTGCTTTCTGCGTTTTTTGTAATAAAGTAGTATGGTTTCTAAAAATGATCGGGCGATAATGCGCCGTACTTTTCGGCCGGTAGACAACACAGGGTGTATAGTTCGCAGGGATTAATTTGAAACAAAATAAACTATTTTGTTTAGATAGTCCTCAACGGGTGCATAGCCCGCACTTAGTGCATAGTCCTCTCGGTTCAATTCTGGTTCAGTTTCACGAAGCAAAACTAAAAGTTCGAACCGGTTCGAACCGGTTTGAACCTTTCAATCGCGAATATATTTTCCGCGTTGTTTTGGCAATAGGCATTATTTGAACCGTGAAACGAGTAACTATATCGTTTAATATTATTATTCCTACTATTCACTTTTATTTTAATATATCAAAAATAAAAAAAAATTGCGATCTTTAATTTTGACAAAACAGTATATGAAAAGCTAAGTTAACGTTGAAGAACGTCGTGTTTATATGACTCATCTCTTTGTTTACCTCAGTCGCATATATTTTACTTGAATCGAAAGGTCATCAGTCTGGTAGGTTGCCTAAAATACCCGTGATTGGTTCAAATTTACGTCGCAGTATCAAAAGTTGAATCCTAGTTGTCCTCTTAAACTTAGGACTTAATTACACTGCATCAAATCATGAAATTGGCACCTCCTCACCATATATCTATTTTTTGAAATCTAGTTTACGAACTACGTTTCACAATATATATGGTTACGCGGCAGCCCTATTTTCAAAACACCACGAAAGTTTTAGGACAAGCCCTTTCGTTCTACTTTTGATAGAGACACTGAGCGGCAATTGCAACGTTACTTTCCCTGACCAACATTGTTTGCATTCAGCACCGTGGTGTAGGCTAATAATCATCCAGAAGAGAGTGATCAAAGTTGTTACTTTAGTCTATAAGCACCTTCGTACTCAGATCCAATCTGTCCTAAAATAGCGCCTACCCACGTGAACATTTTCGACATATCCTGGCGTTTAACGTTTGTTTTTGACGAGATGGGCGGTCAATCCAATTTGCAAATAAGCATCACCCTTGCTAATTTGTTATTTATTGTTAAATAGATCAAAGTAGTATTTCATATTTCATTTTATTCTCGACATTGCAACTACTTAGTCACATTCTGACGGTGTTCGTGCGCAATCATCATACTTTGTGTAAGGAAAACATATGTGAGAAACACATTTATGTGTCAGGAACACATTTATGAGACGGGAACAGGTAGTTATTAAAATAATCTTCAAACTTAGACATTTGTTTAAGGTTCTTTCATGTCACTTATAGAAGTGCATATCGAGCAAAAAACGCCGGAAAATACTAGCAGGGCATACTTCGAATAACTTGGGGGTGCATTTACTTATGATGTATATCTTTAAGAGGATTGGCATTTATTTATGTATTCAAATCTTCAGTCAGTAAATATATTTGTATAATGATCAGTAAATCTGACTGCATGAAGTTCACATAACCAATTGAGACCGACATGAGAGGGCGATACTCGAAAATAGGCCTTCTGTTGAGCCTGCGGAAGCGGGCCTTTGTGTTCGCTGTTTGCCAGTGAGAAACACCGGGCCGCGGGGTATGCCAAGAAGCACTCCATGCTCACACATGTTGGTGCTCACAAAATAGATCTGACGGCAAATACACTTAATATGAAGAAAAGGAGATAACATTTTAATAAATAGTATTCTAAAAAAATTCATACACAGCGCCTTACTACAAAAAGAAATGCATAGAGTTGCATGAAATATTATTCCCAATTGCACATGAGCAATGCGAAGGGCAGACAATATATTTCTAATATAAATCACACTTGTACTTCGGTTTTCACGAGCTCGTAACTGGGAAAAATACTGCCTCGGCAGACTAATTTTTTATTCGGTTTTACGTGCTCTTGTTTTGGGCCCTCACTTTACAAAGCTGTATTTTATCAGTCAGGCGCAATCTATCTTTTCATTACGCTACCGCATATCATTGCGAGACCACTATATATACTGCACAACTTTACACTTTGGACATTCACTTTTGCTAGTGTCGAGAACATCGCATTTCACCAGAAAACAGAACTGTTTAATATGTGGCGTGGCGACATCGCCATAAAATTAGAGCGCAAAAGACTTGGACACGAAGGAACACTGGAACAGGGCAGTCCCATTGTTTGTTTCTGTCCTAGTGTTTTGCGCTATAGATTTGTAATGAATAACCAAATTTGGTAATAAATCACCACCTGTTAATTTTAAGTATAAGGACTTCATCGCATTATAGGCTGGTCGTCATTGCGATTTGCTCTCGCTGAGAAAATAAAATAGGGTAATGCAAAATGCACGCTACAGAAGGTTCGCGCTCAGTGCAAGATCATGCATTCGAGATACACAAATTATTCTTGCGTGGTGTTGCGCCGTGAAAATCGGCGAAATCGCCTGGCAACACGAAAACGCGCTTTCGGATTGCTTGCAGGAGTGGTTTTGCAACCGAAATAGTTTTCGGGATAACGCGTTCAGCTCTGCGCCGAAGATGCGGAGCAGAGAAAACTTTAGAACAAAGTATGTTTTTAAGACTCCCCGCCCCCGATTTTTCTTTTAGAGCGTAGCTGTTAGGCGTTTGTTTCAGGGTTGAGCGGCGTAGGCGTCGCTGTCGGCGTAAGCGCGCTAAATTTAGCGGGAAAATTGACGTCACATGACCTGAACACCGATTCAATTCCCCACTATTCAGTTTCTCCGCTAGATTTGGCGGGAAAATTCAGTCTCTCCCAAGATTTAACACCAATTTAATATCCCGCTAAATTCAACGGGAAATTGAATTGGTGTTGAGGGCACGTGACGTCTATTTTCCCGCTAAATCTGGCGGAGAAACTGAATTTTTTCATAGGTGATGTGACACCAAGTCATGTGATGTCATTCCTCCCTTTAAATTTAGCGATGAAACTGAATTGGAGGAGGAGAGGAGGGAGTGTAGGAGGAGGAGGATGGGCAGAAGAGGAGAGGAGGAGAGGGTACGGAGTGGGAGGACAGGCATGCCCTTCCCTCCGTACCCTCCCTTCTTCCTTTTCAAGACCTGCTTTCTAATTTCGCATAAAACAGATTTGTAATCCTCTTTCATTTTTTCTTCTTTTTTCGATGGTCCTCCAGAGAATACCATTTATTCCCGAGGGACTTCCTCCTCCGTATTATATTTGTGTCATTTGTTAACAGGAATCCTCCATTTATTTTATTTTACTCCCCAAAACTGTGAGGTATTGAGGAGTTTCAGCGACGGTGTCACCGCCCTGGCGGCCGGTCGCCGAATGAGAACGAGGGGGATAGGTTCGCTGGGCGTTGGCTTTGTGTGAATGCGTTGGCCGCGAACGTAGGCTTATAAACTTCGACAGCAACAATATTACGCGGCTCTAGTGTTCCGGTACGAGCAACAGAGGTGACAACATCTGCTACGACTAGCTGCGACCACCCGCCGCAGCGATGCAGGCGTCGAAGAAGCGCAACGCGCAACCTGTGTACTACGCAGTCAGTCGCCGTCGCCCGACGCAGGTCGTTTGGCATTCAGGGCTTTCCGCCCCGGGTTCTTCGCTTGTACTTGGAACGGAATATTATTTCCTGTGCTTGTGTATGTGCTCAGTGGCTGGATATGAACCTCATAGAGCAGTTCTTCAGACTCAACAGCGACTCAAAGTTGACGGCGGAGGGGCTTGCAGCAACGCCAGCAACGCTTTCGGTTGGTGCGCGGGTGTGACGACTACACGGATAAATTTTAAGATTCCTGATAGCAAGGTGGGCCATAGTCGATTTATGTTGACACGATTTTGAGTGTAAATACTCCGTGCAAAGGCGAATCTATCGCGTTTCTAATCCACCTTTGTTTTTGTTGTTTTTAGCACGCACGACCGACTGCTAAGCAAATGCCTCTGTGCCGATTACGGAGTGAATATCTTCGGCCTTACATTGCGGAAAGCCCAAGAAAAAGTCATATTCGTTCAGCGAGAAAACTTCCCTTTCGAGTGACCTTCTTTGATTGATAATTTCTCCCGTACTTAAGTGCTTTAATCAACACGATCGATTAAGTTTGCTTCCCTAGCTAGGACATTTTTGTGCCACATGCGGCACTTGTGCTTGGCACCATATATGCCACTGGTGGTATTGTGAATTGGTTTACTTCCAAAGCTAACACTGTAACAGGTGGGACCATTCAATTCGCTAAAAATGTGATGATATTGGAATTTCGTTACATAACTAGCGTTTTACGTTTAAGATTGATAAGAAACATGCTCATGTGATGATGCATGTCTAC